GGGTTCGAGATTGTTTGGAAGGTTTCACATACCTTCTGGCCCTTCTCACGAGTTCGGATTTGTTTGATCGATTCCGCAAGTATCTTTATTTTTGTGTTATTCAAGAAAGGAGAAAACCCCTAAAAAGTTTGACGTGTGCAACTCTGGTTTTTGGTCCGATTTGGGAGGATTCTCGAATTACGATCATATCAAGATCTCAAACACTAAAAGTACAAATCTTGAAAAACAAAACAATGTACTTTCCCTCCCACTTTTATACTGTACATATGGCAACTTTCCCCTCTTGTATATATTTTCGGAGCATGATCAACATGTACGCGTCAATGTTGCACAAAAAAACCACCATATGACGTAGGGTTCCATAACACCTATTGTGGAATCGTAACAACATATGATGATTTTTTCGGCGATATTTAGATGGCGACTTATTGTCATTGCTCCCCTCCTTGCCTCCAACAAAGACCATGTATGGAGAAAAAAGAAGAAACAATAAAACGAAGAAGTGAGTTTAACAGTCATGATCTAACAATGACATAATGAAAGGAACTGAGATCTAAAATAATACGTAGTCTCATCATTACCACTACACCCGAAAATAAAGCATGGGATAGGAGCACGAAGAGGCAGATGGGGTTGATTTTCAGAGTTTCATATTGAGAAAATGGGAGAAAGGGGTCTTTTCAGGGATTGAGAGGAGGAGGAACGAACAACAGCAGGAGATGAGTTCCTCTCGGGTTTCGGAGCATGGTCTCTCCTTCTCCGATTAAAGAATTTATAAATGGACTCGTAAAATTACTTTGCCTTTACTTCCCTTCCCATTGACTGAAAATCACACTCCCTACCGCTGCCTCAACCTTGGTAACGCCAACACTGGTTATGGGCAAATGCGACTTTCCGAAAACGGCAAAATCTGATTGGGTAGCACGCCGCGGCAAGGATTGAAGCTCTTTCACCATCGGATTAAAGGAAAAGTTTAGGAATTGACGGCGGGAGATGGGGATGTGCTTTTAGACTGGCTTTTTAGATTAACTAACTTTTTCGTTTAGCAAAATTAATCTACTGATTTGGTATATGTTATTGTAACCCTATACCCTAAACCCTAAACCAAACCCTAATCCCCGAACCAATCAATACCATATACTCTACAGCAATAAAACCTTATACCCTAACCAATCAATACCATATTACTCTAAACCATCAACACCTTGCAAACCCCTATACCCTAACCTTCAATACCTTATAGGCTTATGCTCTAAACCATAAACACCTTAGACCATCTCCATCCAATTGCTTATTTAGTGGAATCCTAGGTGGCACCACTTTTAAGCATTTGCAAGGATGTGGGGATGCTTTCTTATTTAGCAAGATTGCAATGCCACCTAGGATATTTTTTATTTTTCAATTACTTTTTCTTTCTTTGTATGGGCCCACTATTGGCAATTGCTTATTGGTTTTAGGGATGTAGGGGTTTGGAAATTATTGAATAAGTTTTTTTGCTTGATTGGTGATGTGGGGATAAGGGCCCACTTTAGAAATTGCTTATTGATTGTCTAAGACCATCTCCATCCGCAACTTTTAGCAATTGCTAAAGATGAGTTGGAGCTTAGATGGCAAAAACTAGCAATGGTTTAGAGATGGAGGAGTTCTTTCTAAACTAGCAAGATTTTTAAATTAGGAATTCTTCTAGCAATGCCACATAGATAACTATTTTCTTTTTCTATTTTATTGTTTATTAACTTTTCTTGCCCAACTAAAGTAAATAGGTACTTCAAAATTGAAATTCTAACTTTATGTTCAAAACATAAATTAAAAATTGATAGTCGCTAAGTATCAAACCATAAACCTCTACTTTATTAACTCAACAGCTAAAGGACAATTAACCAATTAAGCTACATGACATTTATAATCATCATGTGAAATTTCGCTTTCTTATTAAGTGAAGGGTTAAAATGAACGATAAATATATCATAGTGGATTGTTTCTGCCCGTGGGGGAGTGAGAGAGTGGAAAAGGGGGAATTAATGAAGAGTTAAATTGGACGGATTGTCTTTACCACGCCACTACAAAATCCTTCGGAGCAAAAACATGCAGGTTTAAATCAAACAATAAATGAAGAAAGATGAACTTAATAACTCTAACTAATTTTCATTCCATATGTGGCGAATCGCTAATGGCCGGGATCACCAACAAGGATAAAAAACAAGGCAAAATAGTTAATAGGAACCTACCTTGCACACACCAAATCATTTTATCTCGTACCGATAAATGTGTCACGCTACAATAATTATGTCTAAGTTTTTTTAGTAATAAGGCATGATCAACATTTATAAGCAGATATAGAGAAAATATAAAATCGAGAAAAAATAAAACAACACATACCCTCACCCTAAGACCATCAACAACCATGAAATAGCATAACTATTTCATTTGTGGCCCCTACCGCCACATGTACACCTTTTAAAATTTCATCTCTTCACTTATATTTTTCTACATCCATGAAATCTACTTTCAATTTCATATGGTGGGCCCTATTCACAATGAAATGGGGAAAAGACACCCATTGTGGATGCTCTAAACCAATCAATACCATATGCTCGAAACCATCAACACCTTATAACCTACCCATATACCATATACTCTATACCATCAACAACCTAATACCCTAAGCACTCAGTACCATTTCCTTTAACATCAACACCTTATACAACAATCGTATACCTATACGCTGATAAAATTTTACATTTTGAAAATACTTGCCTAACTAAAATACATAGATACTTCAAAAGTGAAATTCTAACTTTCGTTTCAAAACATAAATTAAAAAAAAAATATCTTCACTCAATATTCAACCACAAGCCTCTAATTAGTCTACAAGAGGTTTGTTATGTACGAGTGCATTGCATAAAGAGGGGCAATCAGTGGGAGAGTGGAATAGGGCCAATTAATGAAGAGTTAAATTGGGCGGATTGTAGTTTACCTCGTACCGCTAAATGTGTAAAGAGACACACTAGCATTTACCAAATTCCAAAAAAAGATGGAACACATAATTATATTTAAATTGCGTGAAGTCAAGGCATGATCAGGATTTTAGAAGCAGAAGAAGATGAAAATAAAATATAAAATCAAGTAAAACAAAGAACCTCCACTTAGATAGACAATTATCAAAGGCCCAACCTAATGAAAATCTGGAACTCAGTATGTATTATCAACAAACTAGGTGCCATGGGTCATGTCAAGCCCACTTTTGAATGTTATTTAAAAGCCTGCAAAAATCAATGATCAGACCCAGTCCAACTAGAATTAGTCCTAAATGCACTCTTAATACATAAACACAAATTAAGGAGACCTCTCCATCCGATTCGAATCAAATTTTGTCTTCTTCATCTCCTTCCTCAATCCTCTGGGCGAGACAAACACTACATATCGGGAAACCTTAGTTTCACCGAGAGATAGAAGTTATTTTGCAAATGATAATAACGCTAAGACAAGATGACAAAGCACTAGCGACGTGAACCCTAGGGTTAGCAAACCTCTTTCAAGGGTTCTTTTGCAAATGAAAAGTTTGATGAACACAATAATAGACATGGTCTCCGTAATCGTGTTAGAAAGAGATAGGTGAGTAAATTCCCCGCAAATAAAATGGCGAGGAACAAAACGTCGATTTGTGGATACAAGGATTTGGGGTTCAAAATGATGATTATGTGAGGATTTCATATTGGATGGGGATTTTCTCTTCGAATGTGGATACATAGATTTGGGGTATGAAACATGATGATGTTGGGGATTTGAGATTGGATAGGGAGCTAAATCGAATGTGGATCAAATAATAAAAGGATTTGGGTTTTGAAACGATGATATTGTTGGAGGTTTCAGATTTGATAGGCAGCTTATGATCGAACTTCGAACGAAGAGGGGACCCTCCAAGACGAATGAGGGATCGTAGAAGGGAGACTGGAAATTGGTTAGGGCTGCAGTGGGTCGTATCCATAGGGTTTAACCTCTTAATCTATATAATTAAAACGGGTACAGTTAGGTTGAAGTCCAATGAAAAAAGCTTTAACGCATCGTGATGCTTTTTGTAATTTTCCTTGCCCCCGGTCTTCCGTACCCCGAATTTTGCCCTGGGCACCCTAGAACTGCCCATATATATACACTATTACTTGTGATTGGTTGTTAGAAGAGGAAGAAGATGCATCCTTTTAAGGCAAGGAATTGGATGCTGATGAGCTCGATCGAGCAGAAGAGGAGGAAGCTTTACGTGTGAATTAATTATAGATGATAAAGAAGATGAACGAGATGAGTTCCCGAGTATAGACATTTCCACATTTGGAGTTGTTTGAAGATGTAAATTTGAATACAAGCTTAAGATCCAAGTTGTAGTTTCTAGTTTGAGTTGGTTGTTGTGAACTTATGATTTGTGAACGTTGTTTGGTTGTTTGTACTTGTTTCTAAACATGCATTTGGATGATTATGTGTTTAATTAGATATTGTAATCTCGCACTTTGGTGAGTGCTATACCACCTACTCTTATTTACCATTTTACAACTTGTTATCCTGTTTTATTCCCATATTCCTCCGAAATGGTACCCTGATTTTGGCGGTACAGTTATTTTACAAAAACAAATATTTAAAATGGTATTTTACCAGCACGAAATGGTTGAATCGCGATTGTACCAAAAAATATCCTACCATTGACAACTTTGGTATGACTTTCAGTACGGTTTCCCAAACCATGGTTAAACCCAAATCCATGGATTTAACTCCAACTCAATCCTAATTAAATGATTACTAGGACAAAAGCCTGCGCTACACGCCGGGTAAGATTGATTTGAATTGATTACGTTTTTAAAGCGATACATCGGAAAATAATAAAATAACATCTTTTGAGGGGAAATTGTTGTTGGTGGAAAAACAATAGCGCATCGAATAACCAAAAATGTGATGATTTCATGAACTAAGCAAAGCATTAATAATAATTGAGTTTGATGAAAGGGAGGGGGTTATAGAGGCTAATGTTATTATCCCTGGCACAATCTCAGGCAAATATGAATGGCCTAGGAAAGAAACAAAAGGGATCTTATACACCTACATTTGATGGCATAGTGTTTTATTTTTCAATCAGACCCATGGAGGTCCAACATAAAATACACAAATCAATACCTCAAACCAATAAACTCAATACTATTTTTTTAGATCAATAGCTAACCACAATCACATATAATATGAACAAAACACATTATAAAGAACACACCGCAAAATAATGTAAATACACCTTACTATAAACGTCCACTAACTGATGATTTGTTGCATTCTCAACTTTCCAATGTTGTGATAACTGGAGCTGCAAAACCAAACATCAAGTTCATTAGACGAAATAGTCAGAGTGAAATGTCATAGGTAAAATAGCTTACAACAGGCACTGATGTAACCAATAATCATATCCTACTAGAAATATTTGTTGTTTTCTGTTTAGTTAAAGCAAAAGGCTTGCAAGCCAAATAATGAATGAGAATTTCTTGGAAGCAACCCATACCCAAACACGAAGCCAATCACTAATTAAGATCTATTCTAGTTTAGTTATTAAGCATTTTTGCAGTGGTAATACATATGTTTGAATGGGAACCCCTAGGTTAGGTTGGATCAGGTTCAAAATATCTCACTTGATAATTCCAAAAAAGAATAGAGGCCAAATAGAGGACACATCAACAAAAACTACACATACAAAACATCTTCATCCACTCAAATGACGCTTCAGGTGCAACTCATGTTGATCAACTTAAGAGGTAGCATCATAAGTAAGAAGTAGTTAGTAATTATAAATCTAACAACCAGCAACATATTTGATATGCAATAAAACCAGGCATTTAATGAGCAATGTTTCACTATCAGCAAGGCAAACCAAAAGATGAAAAACAACAAAGTAATGATGCATGTACGCAGGGAGAAGGCATATCAAAATGTAAAGCTTCCACAGTCACTTGGGTAATGATACAACCATTGCTGCTGTTAAATATATATTTTCACATTTCATCCTATCCAATTGAAAGCAATATCTAACACACATTTAAGACAAAAAAAGCTTATAGTTCTAAAAGCATAGGGCAACATTGAACATCACATGATCTTCCAAGATCAATCGTAGTATAAGTACAAAATACATACAAAGGTGAAGCATCGTACTGATGTTAGGAGCATAGGCAAGAATAGTAAAGTTTGGTTGAAATTGTAGCTTAGACATGGTAGAAATTTTCAGATAGCATCATATTAGGCATAATGAAATTCTATAAACAAAAGCTAATGTACATGCCTTTTTTAGATGAATCATTATCCAGCTAGGTAGACATTTATCCCTCGATGGACGGTGGTAATGCAACTTACCATTTGAAAGGGATTTATAAGGTTAAAATGATGCACACCCACACTCCCAATTATTGGACAAATCATCCAATTCCCCTACACTTGCACATCTGGCTACAAACATAAATACAGTTCTAGTAAGACACATTCAATCAAGTTCCAGGCAGTAAACAGAAGTTTGAAAACTACCACACAATTTTGGCTATCTGACCAATTTATGCAGTCCTTAAAGATCATAAGGCTAACAAAAGAATGGAAGTACAATGTTTCGTAATATTTAAGTAAAAGTTAAGAAGAGAGGACCACGTTGGAGTTGAACGTGTTCATTAATGTTAACTTAGTAGTATGAAAAACACAATTGATAGTGGTCCTTAACCATAATCTCTTGGATTCACTCATGCGCTTCATGGTCGCTGTATAACATATCCGAGTAGATTCTGACGAATGAAAAAAGTGATCAGACATGGGCCTTCCTATGCTTTCTACATTAAAGCGGGTGATGCTCTTGCTTTGTTAATAATTTATCTACTACATCATAGCTTCATGTTGAAGGGAAATCAATGAAAGTGATGTTATCATATGGATGCATAAACAATAATTCTATTTGGGACATTTTTTTTAACAATAAGTTTTATCCAAGCTTATCGTCTGTTTCTGTACATATAAAATTATCATTGCAACATAATAAAACAAAGATGCTTCTTATATTAATGGATAATGATAGGAAATAATGATGTAAAATTTGAATTCGAAAAGTTAAGAGAGAATCTTTAAAGCAAAATTGAGAAAAGAAAGTTGAAACGGGATGGTTAGATCAATTTTATGTTGCCAAGAACAATATAGTAATTCTACAGGCAGGACAAACAATATTAAGTTTCAGTAGATTCCCTATGGAGGTCAAAGCGCCAAACAACAACAAAGACCGGACACTTTTCCTCAACAAAGTTATAGACTTTCATTCAGTTTACCTTACAAGATTAAGCAAGAGTCCTCTGAAACAGGATACACTTCTGTACTTTTATTGTTGAACCCATAAGGCATAGCAAATAAAGAGGATGGCAATTGCAGAGCTATTTGAAAATACATCAGCCTCCCTTTCTCTATCTGCACATATCAGGAACTCGGTATAAACATCCCTCCAACAAGTATAATGTACCTCTGAAAAATAAGGCACTCTTCTTTGCCTATCCATTATCCTTTCCAAGAGTATATAATGAACATATGTTGAAAATTGAGTTTAGTACAGAAAATGATGATATTTTGTGATTGCTAATTGCCTCTTTTGAATTCTATACTGACAAATTCACCCACATATATCTTTCTTTGTCATGTGGGAAGTTAGATCAATAAATTAGACAGATGTAGACATTTAGCATCCAAAATGAACATAGAGAAACAATAGATGAAAAAGAGCTAGCCAAAACTATACCATAACAATAAAATAAATGAACAAAACTATCAGGGCACTTTTTCAGCTCAATAATGTTAAGTATCTTGCTGGCACTTAATTTGGAAAGAAAATCCACTTTGACCAGTTCTAATTGCACTCCTTTCCATGAATCGTTATGTTAGTAACCTCTCATAAATATATATAATTTCAAGGATAGTTTCTGCAACAACCTATTAGCGAAGAACTTCAACAGATTCATTTAGATGATGTGGCACCTACACATTCACCCAACCATCATTCATTTGAGTCCATGGATGAAATCGGCTCATGGTTGTTGTCTTACTGTTTCAGTAACTCAAAATAGTAAATGGTTGAGATATGGAAGGCAGAAGGACACTTGTAGAAGACTACAAACATGGACACTTTGATGTTCGCATACTACAACCATGATGAAAATAAATCAAAATATTCGAAGTTGTTTTTGTCCTTGGGCTGAGTTTTTGGTGTTCTTAACCATCCATTGAGGGAAAAATGAAAGTTCCCACCAGTAAATATGACAGTTTATTTGAGAAAAAAGAAAAAGGATCCAAGTTGATAGACTTGTTGCACTGCAAAGAAGTTTGCATTCTTGATAGATCATGAGCAACCTAAAATCTTTTCAAACATAGAAGCATTGTCTCGGCAAGCTTTCTCCAAGTCAGATCACAAAGAGGCGAAGCAATTTGTTCAAAACACTCAAGTAACATGCCTCCTAAACATTAAGCTAGGCAATTGATTTAGTAAACTGTTGTTATTAGAAAAAATATTGGCATCTAAAAAACAAAAAATTCAAGTACATTTCACATAGTTAACAGAAGTTGAAATCAATTTCACCAATCAATACAGAAGGTCATTTTAAGTATCATCTTCTGTGAACAACTACTTTAGTCCTGAATTTCAATACTAAAATTTGATAATCAAATCTTATATGCTACTTAAACATAATTTAATTATTCCTATTTGTTTCTATCAATTGGTGTTGATGTTATATAATGGTTGATTGTATTCGAGATTGTCATCTAAGCAAAAGTTATTTTCAATACTAATCTATCAGCAACATTGATTCGGGCCCAAATGTACACCTTTTACCCCTCATTTCTTATTCGTTTAGCTTAGTATTTAGTCGTTCCTCGACATATTTCACGCTAGGTTGTGCTTGTTTTGATACATTTCAGGTCCTAGCATGAAACATCCCACCTCTCTGAACTTGGAAAAAGACATTTCTACCCCGGGGTATGATTAAAAATCTCAAATAACACAAGTTTAAATAAAATACCAACTCAAATATCTCAATATCTCAAATCGAAGCCCTAAACACGTGGGAAAAACTTAAATCATCCAAAAGAAATGAATCTCCAATGTTTAACTCTTAACCATAAAGTCTTAATAACTTGAAAAAGTTCTCTGATGCTTACTCTGACGCCTGGCTCGACATCTTTCAGCGACGATGGTGTTGAGCTCCTCTAGCTTGCTGATCACGGATTGGCTGGTTAGGATTTCCTCCTCTACGATCTGGTGAGTGAGTTGGGGTCAGTCTACGCCCTTACGATAAAATCTATATACTTTAGTATTCTTCTCTAAACACTTAACTTCTACTAGTGAAAGTTGTTTTGTACTTCCACTCTTAACACTTATAACTCATAAAATTCTTCAGGAGTTAAAGTCACTCTCCCTTCTTAAAGCTCAAAACTTGACTTAAATCTTTTGACTGACACAGGGATCCCTCACTAGCTAGTCCGGTTTCCAACTCAAACGTATGAGAAGCCATCCAGGCTTTCCTTAAACTTAAACGTAGTTAGGGACGTCGTAACGATTCATCCCCCCTAACATCTTAAACTTATCGTGGTGGCTCTTCACCATGATTCTCAAGGGCATAACTGCTGCCCATCTTAAAAATCTCAAGAGCATAACTACTGCTCTATCTCAAACAGTCTCAAAAGGCAACGGACTGACGCTAGTGACTAAAAACACTTAAAATGACTTCACCTTCTTGAAGGTGAGTTACCTCTTAAAAAGAACTTGCTTCATAACTTCAACAATAACTTATAAACTGAAAGCTTAAATATAAATAAAACTCATGCAGATTCACATCAAGCATAGCTCAAACAAAATCACATAAGCACAATCAAACAACGTCATTCACTTCATCAAAATACTCAAAACTTGTACTCTTGAAAGAACACGTAAGGCGTAGAATTTACCCCCTTTACACTCACCTTATAAAGCTGACTCCTCGATTCTTTACTCGAAGAAATCCCTCCTAGTCGAATTATCTCGGTGAACCTATTAATAAGAAAGTCATTTCCTTAGTCGACCTTTCTCGATTTAGCATTCCCTTTTGGGTCACTAGGACATCCTTTCCTCAACATCCAGCCCTCGAGGCTCGCCCTCAAGGTCTTTTAACCCACTTTAAAAATTTTCTAAAAACGATCCCTTCCAAACCGACCACTTTTCCTAATTATTTTAGTCTTGGACGAATTTTCCACCTACCTTGAACCTTCTCAAAAATTCGGGTAATACTTTTCCTACATCAATCATGAGTACTTATACCCTGGAAAATTATCAAAACCCTATAAACTCATCGGAATTAATTTTATTTAATTAAAACGAATGTTCGAACAATTTCTAAAGTTAGAAATACATCTTCAAAAATTACCAAATTAATTTACAGCCATCTCCTAGACCTCAATCAGTTTATAAAAATTTTAAAATCAAGAACAAACCCTCTCAATGACTCGAAACAATTTAAACGCTCTAAAACAAATTTCTGGAAATTTCCAGTAGCTTTAGAGACCACCCAAATTCTGTCACTAAAGGCCTGAACGACTGATGCTAAAACCTCAGAATTGCACCCTCAAGAAAAACACCAATACGATCGATCTAACTCAAAGGGATCGAGTTCCCTTACCTCTAGAATGTGCCTAGGCCTAGATTGGCTGACCCGGGACGTTGATCTCCTCGTTGATCGAATCCTCAACGTCACCGCTAATAAAAATCGAGCTTCGAATTAGTCTAACGATAAATCGCGTTTAGAAATCGCGAAAGAGGGTTCGTGATCCTTACCTAGAACACGAAAGGGATGGGATCGGGATTTGGGATTTTGATCGGCGGTGGTCTCAAGAAATTGCGGAGGGCGGCGACTGATGAAAAGAATGGCAGGGAGGTCGGGAATTTTGGGGTTTCTCGTGGCCGCTCAATTGGAGAAGTGGGGCGGGTGGGGTTTACTTCTTGCTGGCGGATTTAAAATTTTTTTTTTTCTTCTGCTTGGGGAAATGAAAGGGTGAGAGGCGGCTGGGGGAATGGATTGCTAGGGGATGGGGATTTATTGGTTGGCAGGGGCCGCTCGGCCCAGGCTGATCAATATATATATTATTTTTTTTTATTTATATAATAATAATAATAATATTATTATTATTATTATTACTAATCCGCGATTGCAACTTTCAATACGCAACTGTCCATCCACCCGATCACGCAATGTGGTCGAACCATAACCCAAAATTCGGGGTGTTACATTTCCTCCACCCTTATAAAAATTTTGTCCCCGAAATTTGAACGGTAGAGTAACCACTTGAACGATTTAGTGTTGTCTTCGAAGGAACAGTGCTAGTTGGGATATAGCATTTCCCCCTCCCTTAAAGAAATTTCGACCTCGAAATTGTAGGTTGAACTGGGTTGGTAGCTATCGTAAATCCGGCCTGAATCACCAGGTCTTATTATTGAAAAAACGAGAAATGGGAACTAAAAAGATTACTAAAAGTGAGAGTACACAGAATTTCGCCCACTACCGATCTTCACATCAACAAACAACTTTGGGTAATTCTCTCTCATGCTACTCTCTGTCTCCCAAGTCGCAGCCTCGCTGCCCTGGTTTCTCCATACCACCTTTACCATGACAATCTTCTTCCTCCTCAACTCTTTCTCCTGCCTATCCACAATCTGGATTGGAACCTCCTCATATGTCAAATCATCTTTCAACTGGAGTCCTCGTGTCTGATCACATGCTCCGGGTTGGATCGATACGCCATTAGCTTGCTGACGTGAAAAACGTCGTGGATCCTAGATAGACTGGGAGGTAAGGCTAGTCGATAGGCTAAGGGTCCAATGCGCTCCAACACCTCATATGGACCGATATACCTCGGACTAAGCTTTCCCTTCTTACCAAATCTCATCACTCCCTTCCAAGGGGACACCCTTAGGAATACCATATCCTCCACTTCATAACTTCGTGGGTTCCCTGGCCTCTCGGCATTACTCTTTTGCCGATCCTGAGCTGCTTTCAAGTTTCGGCGAATCAACTCCACCTTCTCCACTGCCTTCTGTACCATCTCCGGACCCTCTAGCTGTCGTACGCCCTCTGCATCCCAGTACAACGGTGTACGATACTTCCTTCCATACAATACCTCATATGGAGCTGCTTGTATCGAGCTGTGGTACTGGTTGTTGTAAGCAAACTCCATTAAAGGTAAATGATCGTCCCAAGCTCCTTTCATGGCCAAGACACACGCTCTCAACAGGTCTTCCAATGTCTGAATCGTCCTCTCTGACTGTCCATCTTTCTGAGGGTGATATGCGGTAGAGAAGTGAACTTTAGTGCCCATTGACTTTTGAAGACTCACCCAGAATCGTGCCGTGAAGCTAGGGTCGCGATCAGACACGATACTAAGTGGAACTCCATGCAATCTCACTATCTCCCTCACATACAACCTAGCCAGCTCCTCCACTCCCGGCTTGAACTTGATGGGTATAAAATGAGCCACCTTCGAGAAGCGATCCACAATCACCCATACTCCATCATTTCCCCTTGGGGTCCTCGGTAAACCATACACAAAATCCATGGTGATCTTCTCCCAAGTTCACTGCGAGACTCCAACGGTAGGTGCTCAATGACTGGAGCTTGATGTTCAGCCTTGATCATTTGGCACTCCAAGCATTGATAGACATGTGTAGCTACCTCCTTCTTCAATCCTGGCCACTAGAAATGCTCCTTGAAGGTACGATACTTCTTAGTAGCCCCAGGGTGCATTGCATAGGGTGCAGAGTGAGCTTCATCCAGGATATCCTTCCTTAGCTTGTCGACATCTGGGACACACAACCTTCCTTAATACATTAGTACCCCATCTACCAGTTCAAATTTGGTGTCCTTCCCTTCTAACACTTGCTTCTTGTACTTCTCTAATTCCAAATCTTCACTCTGGTTCTCCTTGATTCGTTCCTGCAGCATAGGATGAATTTTCAAAGTTGCTAGCAACTTTGTTACCTCTTCTAGCTCCAATTCCACATTCATGGCCCTCAAAGAGACCAACTCCAGTAAAGGGCTCTCTCTCTTCTTGCTCAAGGCGTCAGCCACCACATTTGCCTTTCCCGGATGGTACTTAATGGTGCAGTCATAATCGCTCAACAGCTCCATCCACCTTCTCTACCTCATGTTCAACTCCTTCTGATCAGTCAAGTGTTGGAGGCTCTTGTGATCCGTGAAGATGGTGAACGTCTCGCCGTAGAGGTAGTGTCTCCATAACTTCAAAGCAAGGACCACTCCTGCCAACTCCAGGTCATGGGTGGGGTAGGTCACATCATGGGGCCGTAGCTGCCTCGAGGCATAGGCGATCACCTTCTTATCCTGCATCAGTACACAACCCAAGCCTTGGTATGAAGCATCGCTATAGATGGAATACTCCCCACCGCTGGTCGGTGGTGCTAGCACTGGTGTAGAGGTCAGCTTCTCCTTCAGCAACTCAAACGCCGTTTGACACTTCTCGTCCCAAACAAATGTCTTCCCCTTCTGCAATAGTTGTGTCATGGGTCGTGCAATGCTGGAGAACCCTTCCACAAACCTCCAGTAGTACCCAGCTAAACCCATAAAACTCCGCACTTTGGAAACATTCTTTGGTGGAGCCCAGTTTGTTATAGCTTCAATCTTCTTGGGATCCACTTCAACTCCACGCCTAGAAATCATGTGACCCAAGTACAAGACCTCCTCTAACCAAAAGTCACACTTCGAGAACTTGGCGTATGGCTTCTCGTCTTTCAATTTCTGCAAAACCACTCTAAGGTGTTCTTCGTGCTCCTCCTTACTTCTCGAGTAGATGAGTATGTCATCTATGAAGACGATGACAAACTTGTCCAAGTACTCATGAACAACCCGATTCATTAGTGCCATAAAAGCTGCTGGTGCATTGGTCATTCCGAACGGCATGACCAATAACTCGTAGTGGCCGTACCTAGTGCGAAAAGTTGTCTTGGGTACTGAACCATCTGCCACCCTCAACTGATGATACCCTACCGTAGATAGATCTTCGAGAACACCCTTGCTCCTTGTAGTTGGTCGAAGAGATCATCTATCCTTGGCAAAGGATAGCGGTTCTTGATGGTAGCTTTGTTCAACTTCCTATAGTCAATGCACAGTCTCATACTGCCATCTTCTTCTTCACGAATAACACTGGTGCTCCCTATGGTGATACACTAGGGCGTATGAACCCCTTCTCCAACAGCTCTTGCAACTGCTCCTTCAACTCCTTTAACTCCACTGGTGCCATACGGTAAGGAGGAATAGATATCGGTGTCGTGCCAGGAATCACTTCAATATCAAACTCCACCTCTCGCTGCGGCGGTAGCCCTGGAAGATCTTCGGGAAATACCTTGGGGTATTCCCTGACGACAGGTACATCTTCTATCTTTTTCTCTTGCACCTCCTTAACATGAGCTAAATATGCCTCACATCCTTCTTGAATTAATGAGAATGCCTTAACCGCGGAGATTAAGCACCCAGGGATAAGCTTCTTAGTCCCTTTGAACAAAGCAGTGCCCTTTCCTTCCACCTCCAGGCTAACCTCCTTCTTGTAGCAGTCCACCTTTGCTCTATTCTTTGACAGCCAATCCATACACAAGATGACATCAAACTCGTTGAAGGGTAGTAGAATTAGGTTCGCCTCGAATTCGTGCTCCGCCACGGTGATAGCACAATCCCGAATGACTGAGTCTACTATAAGGGTATCCCCCACTGAGGTCATGACCTCTAAATTCTGCCCCAACTTCAAAAATGGGAACCCTAAGGTTCTAGCAAGCTTGGTATAAATGAAAGAGTGTGTGGAACCGGAATCAAATAACACAAAAGCGGGCTGGTGGTAAAACGAGATCATACCAGTCACCACCTCAGGTGCAGCGTCAGCTTCTTCTCTCCTCATGGCAAACAGTCTTGGTTGCCCAGCTGCTTGAGATCCTTGCCCTCGATCTCGCTCATTGCGGTTGAACCGCCCTGCATTTCTTCCCTGCTGGTGATTAGATCGGTTTGGCTAGTTGCCAAACTGCTGTCCGGTCTGAGTTCTTCCTCCTCCGCCCCGGACTGATTGTTCGGACTGGGCTCTCCCCTGTCCTCCTTTCCTAGGGAAATCTCTGGCATAGTGGCCCGGCTCGTTGCAGTGATAACAGATGCCTCCCAGATGCACCTTACACTCTCCCGGGTGGATTCTCCCACACTCGTTGCCTGGATCCCGGGGAATGTAGGTCGGCCCTGATCTGGTTGAGCCGGCCTGACTCTAGGTGGCCCCATAGTAGCTCTGAGATGGTCTCCTTCTCTGCTGACTCGGCTGTCTTGGCCCGTCAGACAAGCTAGCAGCCTTTCTCTTGTTCCCTTCTCGTTGCATCCCCTCCTCATACAGAGCTGTATCCGCCCTCTCCAATCGAAGAGTCGCCTGATAAATCTCTTCCCTGTTGTTCCAGTTTAGTATACTCAGCTGACGGCGAAAAGCAGGCTTCAGGCTCTCCAGGTAATGGGTGCGTTGAGCTGCTACATCCTGAATTTGAGGCCCTCCATAGGTAAGTAGCTTGTCAAACCTGTCCGTGTACTCAGTCACGCTTTCCCTGCCTTCATTGCCCCACTTCTGCCTAATCAACAGAAATTCCCTCTGCTTCCCTATCCGGTAAGCCTCCGGTATGAAGTGGTCTTTAAACAGTTGCACGAACTTTGGCAAGTGATGGCCGGTGGATCCTCTCGACTAGCTGGCTGGGTAGTCCACTAGTTTTATGCAGCGTCCTGCAGCAAGGACACTGTCAGCAGCACTCTGTCCTCATCATCAGCTCTCATCTCGACCAGCGTACGAGTGACCTTAGCTAGCCACTGCTCAACTTCCATGGGGTCTGTTGAACGCCCCCCCCCCCCCCCCCCCCCCCCCCCCTTAAAATCCTCCAAATTTCTCTTCCGGAACCCTACATAGTCTGGGGGACGTCTCTCTGGTACTGCCACCGGTGGAGTGGGGTGCGGCCCAACACTTGCACTGCAGACGCACAGGGTTTCGTTAGATCTCAGTTATTTCTTCCTTAATGTGGTTTAGAGTAGACTGGAGATTCTAAATTCTTAAAAGAAATCTTGACTTGTTTGGCCAAACCTTGACTTGAAATCTTTAAAACAAAACCTTTAAAAACTGAGACCGACATTCCAATATTTCTTGGGAACCAAGAAAACATAGGACGACCGGCTCTGATACCAAAATGAAACATCCTACCTCTTTGAACTTGGAAAAAGACATTTCTACCTCGGGGTATGATTAAAAATCTCAAATAACACAAGTTTAAATAAAATACCAACTCAAATATCTCAATATCTCAAATCGAAGCCCTAAACACGTGGGCAAAACTTAAATCATCCAAAAGAAATGAATCTCCAATCTTTAACTCTTAACCATAAAGTCTTAATAACTTGAAAAAGTTCTCTGATGCTTACTCTAACGCCTGGCTCGACATCTTTCAGCGACGATGCTGTTGAGCTCCTCTAGCTTGCTGATCACGGACTTGTTGGTTAGGATTTCCTCCTCTACGATCTGGTGAGTGAGTTGGGGTCAGTCTACGCCCTTACAATAAAATCAATAGTACTTTAGTATTCTTCTCTAAACACTTAACTTCTACTAGTGAAAGTTGTTTTGTACTTCCACTCTTAACACTTATAACTCATAAAATTCTTCGGGAGTTAAAGTCACTCTCCCTTCTTAAAGCTCAAAATTTGACTTAAATCTTTTGACTGACATGGGGATCCCTCACTAGCTAGTCTGGTTGCCAAATCATACGTATGAGAAGCCATCCAAGCTTTCCTTAAACTTAAACTTAGTTAGGGAAGTTGTAGCGATTCATCCCCCTAACATCTTAAACTTATCGTGGTGGCTCTTCACCACGATTCTCAAGGGCATAACTTTTGCCCATCTTAAAAATCTCAAGAGCATAACTGCTGCTCTATATCAAACTGTCTCAAAAGGCAACGGACTGGCGCTAGTGACTAAAAACACTTAAAATGACTTCACCTTCTTGAAGGTGAGTTACTTCTTAAAAAGAACTTGCTTCTTAATTTCAACAATAACTTATAAACTGAAAGCTTAAATATAAATAAAACTCATGCACATTCACATCAAGCATAGCTCAAACAAAATCACATATCATCAACCATAAGCACAATCAAACAACGTCATTCACTTCATCAAAATACCCAAAACTTGTACTCTTGAAAGAACACGTAAGGCGTAGAATTTACCCCCTTTACACTCACCTTATGAAGATGACTCCTCGATTCTTTACTCGAAGAAATCCCTCCTAGTCGAATTATCTCGGTGAACCTATTAATAAGAAAGTCATTTCCTTAGTCGACCTTTCTCGATTTAGCATTCCCTTTTGGGTCACTAGGAAATCATTTCCTCAACATCCAGCCCTCGAGGCTCGCTCTCAAGGTCTCTTAACCAACTTTAAAAATTTTCTAAAAACAATCCCTTCAAAACCGACCACTTTTCCTTATTATTTTAGTCTTGGACGAATTTTCCACCTACCTTGAACCTTCTCAAAAATTCGGGTAATAATTTTCCTACATCAATCATTAGTACTTATAACCTGGAAAGTTATCAAAACCCTATAAACTCCTCGGAATTAGTTTTATTTAATTAAAACGATTGTTCGAACAATTTCTAAAATTAGAAATACATCTTCAAAAATTCCCAAATTAATTTACAACCATTCCTAGACCGGAATCAATTTATAAAAATTTTAAAATCAAGAACAAACCCTCAAAA